CCTCTCTTCATATGGGACCTGTTCCAAACCCCTAATCATTTTAGTTGCCCTTTTCTGAACCCTTTCCAAGGCCAAAATATCTTTTTTGAGGTGAGGAGACCACATCTGTACACAGTATTCAAGATGTGGGCGTACCATAGTTTTATACAGGGGCAGTAAGATATTCTGGGTCTTATTTTCTATCCCTTTCCTTATAATTCCTAGCATCCTATTTGCCTTTTTGACCGCCGCTGCACTCTGTGTGGAAGTTTTCAGAGAACTGTCCACGATAACTCCAAGATCTCTTTCCTGATTTGTCATAGCCAAATTAGCCCCCATCATACTGTACGTATAGTTGGGGTTATTTTTCCCGATGTGCATTACTTTACACTTATCCACATTAAATTTCATTTGCCATTTTGTTTCCTAATCACTCAGTTTGGTGAGATCTTTTTGGAGTCCCTCACAGTCTGCTTCTGTCTTGACTATCCTAAACAGTTTGGTATCATCTGCAAACTTTACCACCTCACTGCTTACCCCTTTCTCCAGATCATTTATGAATAAGTTGAAAAGGATTGGTCCCAGGACTGACCCTTGGGGGACACCACTAGTTACCCCTCTCCATTCTGTGTCAGGATCAGGTGCAGCCTCATCACTGAGTCAGCTTTTGGGAGGGAGGAAACGATGAGCTATAGGGTGCTCGCCCACCTCCTCATTGCCATGCTAGAACTCTCCCATTTATTTACTGACAAAATATGCAGAATTTTAAAATGTTGTGTGCAAAATTTTAAAACATTTTGGTGCAGAATTTCCACATGACTATAAAATGTAGATTTTTTTTTTTTGTTCATGCCTCATTTCCTGCCAAAGAATGGCCACTTTGCTCATCAGCCTTGTTTACACCTGGCTGAAGTGTCAGCTTGTTGTTTGTCCCTCAGGACCTGATTTGGCCATTCCCCATACTTCTCTGGAAAATATACTTTTAGTCATGATCTCAGTTTTTTTATAACTTCACAAAAAAAACTGATATGTGCATTTTTGCTATGATTGTATTGATCAGCGAATGATGAGTTTTTAAATGACATTTCACAAGGTATGCTTTGTACAAAGGTTACTACCGTAGTGTGTTTGGTGTGGTCACACAGGTACATTCCATCATATGTTCCTAAATCTCTATTTAGGAACTTACATAAGTCGCTTGCCTGATTTTTTTTTTTTTAAATGTCCTGAGCACCATTGAAGTCGGTGGGGCCTGTTGAATTAGGCAAGCCACTACTTTGAATATCTAAAATGGACTGAGGAAGCTAACCTCAATTTTCTTTTTATGCATATTATTATTACTAAATAAAAAGATAATCTATTATATCAGGACTAAAAAATTGAGCTAATCCTTTTGGTGTTGGTCTCTGACATTATCTGTACTGCTTGGTGTAAGTCAGGAGTGATTTTAATCTGATTCTGCAGGGCAATTTGAATTCATTATATTTTATTTGTTGGCTAGAAGCAGGCCGTGGTTTAGTTTATTTTTTGCATTTATCAATATTCAAACTTAGGTGCTAATGTGTGGCACTTAACACAGACTTTTAGGTGCATGGCTGTAGTAGGTTTAGCTGCCTAACTTTCAGTGCTCAAACTTAAAACTTGGACTCACAACTGGTTCTGTCCTGCTATCACCAGATGCTTCATAAATATCCTGGGAAACAAGACAATTTTTGGCATGCATGTATGCATAAATAAATACTCCGAAAGCTTTTCCCATCTTACCACCCTCGATGGATAGCTCCACTGTCTTACCTGACCATACCCTGTCTGGTCCAAAGAAATACCAGTTTCATGCTTATAAATGCACAGGGCAATAGAATAGAACTGTCTTTATGGGAAGACTGTATACTCTGTGACATGGTAAATCTAAATTCTGTGGCAATGCCCTTTTTAATCTGCAGTGCTCCAATCTGGGAGACAGGTAATTCTGCAGCAGTTTGAAGGAAGTATTAAACATGTGAAAATTTAGGGTTTTATTTCATTAAATTTGTAAATGAGTAATAAAATCTGTAGCATCCTTTGTACTTACATATATTGCTATTATGTTCATTTTATTTTACTCTTGGCCCACCTATATTTTCACTTTTCTTTGTGTTGGGGACTGCTATCTGACATTAATTATTTTGCAGAGGCTGAAAGTTTTGATAGCTAGGATTTAGGTGGTGTAAGAGAGGCTTGGGACATTGATCTGTTCACATCATTGAGGAGGATTTTTAGCTTCCATATTCAGGGCATTATTTAGTCATTGCTGGAAGTTGTTCATTCCCAGGGAGTATCACAGCTGCCCTGTTCTGCCCCCAGCATTATAAATATTAAAGTTTTCCACAGCTTAAACATAGGCAAAAAGCTAGAACTGCTCTAGGATTCACTCTGCTTATACACACACAGGTTCCCACCATTGCACGTGCATATACCATCTGTTCGCACCCTGTGACAGCTAAACTTGCAGATGGAGAGACCGGATTATCCCAAGGATGGTCCCAGCAGAGAAAGAAGCTCATCTGGACATATGCAGAAATGTCATTGGGAAAAAAAAAAACTTCTTTTTTTGGCATTTGAAAGCTCTTATCCCAAATGTGATTTGTTTCTATTAACTAAATGTTAGTTATATAAACTGAGTCAGAGGGCCTACTCTTCATGCGTGGGTGCCTAGGAGTAGGCATCAGATTAAAAATTGCCTGGTTTTCAGAGATGCTGGGCACACACAACTCCCACAAAAACCAGTGAGAGTTGGAGGCACTTGTCACCTCAGAAAAACAGATGTTTAGTTAGTTGCCTAACTATAGAAATAAATGCCTACCTTTGGGTGCCCATGTTTGAAAACAAGGTTCTTAGCTGCTACAGCAGCAACAGCTGTCTCCTACCCTTGATCCTGATGGAATTCCTGTTTGTTGGTGACATTTACATGGCATATGGATGACCCTTAGAAGTAAATACTTGGCATCTAAATATTTAAATTGCAATAGGATATTTTCCTTTCCATGATAACAGTAAAATACACGTGGATCCATCTCTCTGCTTCTCCATCTATTCAGCATTTGCGGACTCTGTCCCTAATTAATCTCCATATCTAACTGGGCCTGCCTCGCCATTAGCTTACTACCAGCACTAAGGGAAATTGAGTGTTACAAAAATGTCTTTTTGTTTAGTAAAAAATCCCAAGAAGCACTCTAACATTCTTAGACTAAAATGCTTTGTACTGTACTGTGCATTGCCGATGTAGTCTGTGTTGTAGTGCAGATTTTTTAGCATTGCAGTCAGTTTTTTTTCTAGATCCCTTCGTCTTGGCAACACTCCAGAGACACAATGTCCTTGCTTAGCATTTTGATGTGGGGAAACACTGATAATTAAAACAGGTTTCAAGCCATGAGCTGATTTGTAAGCAGCAACTTGCTCCAGGATGTGTGTTGTCAGTCGATAAATACACAGCTTGTGTGTGCTGAACCACAGTGTGTCTTGTGCCTGATTATGCACAGTATGTGTAGTACATGTTGATTGAACCCACACCCTAGGGGGGAGTATTGTTTAAAATAATAAAGTTAATTTCTAGAAGAATGGAGATGCCATTCTGTTCTCTCTTACGCTTGTATAAAACTGGTGTAACAACACGGACTTTAGCGAAATTACTTCTTAATATGTACAGTGGTATAACTTAGGGTAGAATCAAGTTTCAAGACATATATCCAGAATTTGTGTGTATAAAAGTAATGGAATTAAACCCATAGTGTACCAGCATCTGAAAAAATACAGTCCTGCAATGGAAATGTCATTGCCCTGAGGGGTTTGTTGGGCTGGGCCCTCAGTTTGCTGAGGCACCAGACTGATTTACAGAGATTTGGGATTTTCTTCTTTGCCAATTTAACAAATACAACCAAAATTAAAACAGATAGATGTATGGATCTGTGTTACATTGGGGAGCAACGTGCCACCATGTTAGCATGCAGAATGAGTGATCAAAAAGCTGTGGTGCAGTGGTGTGTCTTTTTTTTTTCAATAACTTGGAAGAAATGAACCCATTAACAGTCTTGTTTTTGGAAATGCTGTTCCCATGTATATAGTCATGTATGGATATTTGTGTGCGTATTTTCAAGAATTTGCATGGTTCTCTAAGTTGCTGTTTATCTCCCTGAATTACACAGGTGTCATGGGATATAGGCATGCCATTGGATATTTTAGTGTACCGCAGAGGAGGAAATAATCTCAACAAATCTTGTATAAATGTACCTTTTGCATTCAGCTATATTTTTTTTCATTGTACTTGATGTCACCGGGAGTCAAAATTCCTTATACTTCAGAGGCAGATATGAGGCTGGCCTCTTTCCTTCTTCTATTCACCATTTTGGTAGAACCACTCGTAGCTGTACTAAACAGTATGGGGGTGGTGGAGGAAAAGTAATAAGGACTAAAATCAGGAATATCTTAAACAGAATTTCCTTGTATGCAGGTTATACATTTAATATATATCACAAACTTTCAAAATTAATGTTACTCACACCAGCAGAAGGTGGTGCTCTGTTTCCAGCTGTAAGATAAATAGATACACAAACAAAAAAAATCTAGAAAATCTGGAGCCCCGCACATCCTACTCTCCTTCCCTTCCAGCACTTTTGGAGCGCCATGAATCCGCTGGAAGTCCTGGGAGAGAGTGGGAGGAATAGGAAGCATGGGGCTCAAGGGCTTCAGTGCACGAGAGGCACATGGGAAGCCAGACATAGGGTTCATGGGCTGCAGGTGGAACCGCACTGGCTGCACACGACTCACAGGCTGCAGGTTGCCCACCTCTGCTCTGTGCCTTCGGTTCTCAAACTGTAGGTTGTCACCTCATTTTAATGGGGTAGCCAAGGGTGGCTTTAGTCTTGCTAAGGCCTCTGACCAAAGCTGGGGCCTTGGACCAAAGCTGAAGTCCAGCCCCCGCTGCATGGGGCTTGAAGCCCTTGGATTTTGTCTCCACTGCCTCTCCCAGGGCACTGGTGCGTTGCCTTTGGCTCCACTGCCTGTGGCAGCAGGGCTTGGGCAGGGTCAGGCTGTGGTCCACCCTCCTGCGGACAAGCAGTAATGTTTGCTGTCAGAATGGGTTTGTGGTGCAATGAAGTTTGAGAATGCTTGTTCTGTGAGTTTAGTTGTCACCTACCACCTCACACTGGAACCCATACAGGGAGTTATCAAACAACTGCAATGTATATAATCCACAGAAACCCCATCCTGAGGAAGTCTTTCATGAATCCCCTCTTTTGGGTTCAAACAACGCCCCAGCCTTTTCAAGCTTATGATCCGCAGCAAGCTCCCTATAGACCAGGACACGCCAACTCAAAGCAGCACCAGACTATGCCAAAGCAAAAGATACAAAACGCAAAGACATAGCTCCACTGCTACAATGTTCAACACCCGCCACAACACACCTTTCACGATTCATGGGTCCTACACTTGCTTATCACATGTGGTGTACCTCATCCAATGCACCGAATCCCCCAAAACCAATTATGTGGGCGAAACCAGACAATCACTACACTTTCAGATGAACTCACACAGGAAAATGATGAAAAGATAAAACCACCACATCACCTGTGGGATAAACACTTTTCATACAGCAGTCACTCTATATCTAACCTTGCAGTTCTCAAACCCGCACAACACTTTCAAAATACAAGTCTTGGAGCTTAAATTCATAACTCCACTACACACTAAAAATCATAGACACTGGATAAAAACACTGGATTTATGGCTTATTACACCAATCTGTTACCCCCTTTTTTTGTCCTATAATCACAGGTGTTTTAATGAGCTAGTCCACTTTGAATGGTCCTTTAGCATACATTCTAACTACTTTACTAAACTATCTGTTCATTCTTACATTTAATTGTGATACTCTGATTACCTTTCCCTGACCTGAAGAAGAGCTCTCTTTAGCTCAAAAGCTTGTCTCTGTCACCCATCTTGTCTCTCTACTATGTCTCTCTTCTGGCATATGCAGCCGTATGCTAGGGAATAGTGTGTGTTTGTGAATTGTCCGTGTTCTAGGGAATTCCCTGAGGCTGCTCTTCTATCATATTGCTCCAATGCTTTTTCTTCTGGTTAGCTTCTGGGTCAGTACTTGAGTGTTATTTAGGAAACATGGTGGAATGACTATTCTTTTTTGTCTCTAAAGGGCAGCCATCAGTGGTACTCATCTGTGAATTGACTGAAAAAAATGTTGTAGAGTCTTTCTGCGAGGCACGGTTTCTTTACTGAGTCAAGTGCATCCCTTGAACAATGCAGTCTGTGTTCACCTGTCCCCAGCTTGCTTCCAAGCCCAGCTTTCTGGATGCTGGTGCCAACTTCCAGAACTGGCCAAGAATTTATACATTTGTGGCATTACAGATATTTTCCCCTATTTATGTTTGCTAAAAGATTTAGGAATAGTTTCTGGTGTCACACAAATATTATTTTATAACATGGACAAGCTTCAAACTTCAGAAGGAAAAATGCCCAATTCAAAGTTTTGAATCTGTGCCCAGAATAGGTGGTATTTAATGTAGTCCTATTCTGTGAGACCTGAAGTATGAACTGAATACTAAGGAATGTAAGTTTGTATACAGTGATTCAAACTAGAAGTCACCATTCTTAAAAAAAGGATAAATACACAGGAGACTGAATATAATCACTATCCCATTTTTTCTCTGTCTTCCACAGGATGCTTTTGTAGTACAGGTTTAGGTTCCAAATCCTCAGTCGTCTTGTTCTGTTTAATAGCAGGAATATTTAAATCTTAAGATGCAAACTTTGACAATAATGTAATGAATTAGGTCATTGGAGAACGAGGTTACATTTTAACCAACTAATCAACTGGATAGAATATATGTTTTTTCTTGTTTATTCATGGTCATTTTTCAGAGCTTGGAAAAGGTACCAGTTGCCTACTTTTTAGAAAACTATACCAATTAAAGCTAATAAAAATTACAGGGTTTCACCAGTGTGGTCCCTGGTAAGAACTCAGGGAATAGATAACATTCTACACTACCCCTTTCTATAGTTTCCATTTTTTGAGTAATCTTCCTACATGGCCAGCTACAGTGACCATCTCTACTTTTGCTCAAAGCTCTGAGCGAAAGCACAGTGAAACTCATGTATAGCCGCTCTCCGAGTTACAAACAAGTTATGGACCAACACTTGTAACTCGAAGTGTTCATAACTCAGATCCCATAGAGTTACATGGTGACCACACTGTTCATAAGCGTGGATTGCCGTTCGTAACTTGGAGCTGCATTTACACCCGCTTTGGTCGCAAGTGCAGATGGTCGTAAGTGGAGGTGGTTGTAACTCAGGGAGTGGCTGTAATTCATGTCAGTATTGGCCAGCAGTAAACCCTGGAATAATCTGAAAATTTAGGAACTCCACAGTTTCTGTTCATATTAGAACAGTGTTTCTAAAACTTTTTAAGACCGAGGAACACCAAACAATTTTTTTTATGGGGAATACCAAGGATTTTTGTTGAGCAAAAAAAGGAAGCCTGCCCTTGTTCTCTCCGCATATGGTGACCATATTTTCTGAACCTACACCCCCTGACCTCGGTTTACTATGCTCCTGACTCTTGGGGTCAAGATGGACACATGACCAGAAGTAAAAGTAACCCTGTCTAAGAACTTTTCCCACCATCCTCCTGCCCATAGGGGATGATTTTGGTCCCCACCGAACCCTCTCTCCTCAGGTGCTGGTCTCTCCCCTGCAGGTGTCTGCCCTTCTGCTTCCCCCCAGAATCCCTTGGCACCTGCACCTTCCCTTACCCCTGCACCCTCCTGGTGCTTCCTCCTTCCCTCACTGCCCCTCCCCCTTGCCCTAATTTTAGTGCCGCATTCCAGTCCCCACACCACCTTTTGCTTCCATTAGGAGGAGCGCGGGAAGGGGAAGGGGAAGAAAGCCCCCACTCTCCCAGATCTGGCTTGAGGAGCTCGGCAAAGCGAGCGAGTCCATGCACTACCACTCCCCCAGCAGAGTGGGAAGGGGCGGGGGGAGAAGGGCTGTGTACAGAGCACACTGGCAGAGCCTGGACATACCCCGCTCTGCAGCGCTCCAGCCAAGCTCTGCGCGTCTCTGCCGGGACTCTGGTGGCAGCCCCCAGGAGCGGCTCACCAGCTCCAACCAGTGCCCCTCCCTCTCTGGCAGCGGTGGCAGCTACCTGTGAATGGAGGGTGCCGGGCTGGCAGTGCACAGTGGAGGCAGTCCCACAGTGGGAGAAAAGGGCCACATGGTGGGGGGAGGGGTATGTCGGACAGCGGTGCATGCTGCATTGGAGCTTGGAGCTCTGGACACTGCGTGCCACTGGCAGTGGTCCTGGCTGCCCATGCAAAGCACCAAGGGAGCTGCTTAGGAGCTGGATGGAGGCGGGGAGTTGCTGTTACGCTGAGCTATCACTGGGTGTCTTTAAATCTGGGACTGTCCCAGGAAAAAAAGGGACGTATGGCCACCATATCTCTGCTGCACACCTTGGACTGCCTCACGGCACACCGGTGTGCTGCGGAACACAGTTTAAGAAATGCTGCACTATAACATTATATTTGCAACCACAAGGAACAAAGAACTTATGAAACTATCCCCCAAAACTTAAAATTCTGAGAAATTGATGGTTTAAGTCCCCCTCTTCTCCAATCAAATGCATCCACGCTTACTAGGAAAAGTTTTCTGCTCATCAAATGAACAAATGGATATTTCAAGGCCTGATCATTTTGTTAAGCTGAAGAGTACCTTACTATAAAAGCTACTGTAAAAGCCTTGTTTCGGGCAACAATATTGTCTTGAAAGAGCTCGTTTAGACTTTCATCCTTCTAAACATAGATTAATTAGTTACCAGTCAGTTAATGATATATTGGTTTTGGATGAAATTGTGTTTTTAAAAACAATCAAAAAACTGGTCTATGCTCTGTGTGTGATTTTTTTTTTTTTTTTTTAAATGAGTAGAGGTCTAGCTTGATGTCAGTGGTGAACATTTTTTCTCTTCTTTCTCCATCTCACTGTTGACCATGGTTTGCCAGTGCCCCCAGATCCTACAGGTAGTTCTGGTTCAGTGATGCAGTTTTGTCAATGCTTTGTGTTATACACGTTTATGGCTGCAGAACTGTGCTCCAAGCTAAAAGCTTTTGTTTTAAGAAAAACCAAATGTCTATGTTTAAGGCTGTGTCTACACTACAAAGATAAATTGGAAAAGAAATGCAATTTGCGGTACACAAATTGTGTATCTTTTTCCAATTTACTTCTGAAAGAGGCTTTCTACATGGGGTATAATTTCAGAAAAAAACCCTCTTTTGGAACATTCCATCTTCCTCATAAAACGAGATTTACTGGGATGCTGACAAAACATGTCTGCTTTTCCGATATTTTTTTTTCCTGGAAAAGTGGAAGTATTCCTTGGGTGCAGCAGAGCTTTTCTATCCTGGAAAAGCTCTGCAGTCTAGATGTACCCTGATTGCTTGGTTGCAAAGAAAAGCTTGAAAATGTGAAGCTTATATTAACTGATGTAAGGTCATGGTCCTGAGTCTGCAGACAGCCCAAAACATTAGCTCAGGAAATATGAACAGCTCCAATGTGCTTCTGCCTTAAACCCATGCTACCTACTATACCTTTCCAAATAAAAAATCCCCACTTCATCCTTATCCGGTTTCCAGATAGCCAACCCAGTAGCACCCCAGCTGCTCTGCCCCAGGTGTCCCCAAGTCAGCTGCTGCTGAAACTGACCAGCGGCTGATTCCAGGAAGCCGGGGCAGAGCAGCTCTGTCTTGGGTTTCCTGGAGTCAGCCGCTGGTCAATTTCAGCAGCGGCTGAATCCGGGACAGCTGGGGTGCTGCCGGGTTGGTCCCGCAGCCCCGAGGGGCAGCGCCACTGGACCTACCCAGCAGCACTCCAGCTGTTCTGCCCCCTGCTTCCCGGATTCAGCGCTGGTCAGTTTTAGCAGTGGCTGAATCGGGGAGGCTGGGGGCAGAGCAGGTTCCAATGGTCCGGCTGCCCGGAGCACTTCAGGGTTCCTGATGGTGCCGGACCATCAGGAGTGCCGGACCGTCAGATGCCGGACCATCGGAGTTTTACTGTATTTCACATATCCCATAGCTATTCAAATGTTTAAGCACGGCACATTGGGTGCCTTGCCATAGTACAGTGCCTTAGCACTAAGAGCTTTTCTTTCTCTTCATTAAAGCAAAATTGCTGCATAGCTGAAACATATTGTGAAATTTGAGTTAGACTTGGGATTCACACTAAAGTACTTGTGTGTTGGAAATATTTATTGGGAGGGCAAAAAAATCAGGACTCTTTCTGATTGAGGCCTGGTCTAGGCCACAAACTTAGTTTCTCTAAAACCATTTCTTATTAGCATTGATTCATGTTTTCTTTTACTTACAGAAGTCTTTAAACAAGATAATTTTATATTTTATAGGCACAAGCTAACTTTATCCAGCCTGTAAAATATTTTTAGAATCATGATTAGGATATAGTTGATACTTCTTTTTCAGGAAAAGTGTTATAGAATTTAATAGGGAGACACAGAGAACTTGTAAGGCAATTTACAGCAGAGCCCTTAGCATAACCATATTAGTGTGACCAGGTGTAAAATATTAGTTGCTATACAGAATAATTCTATTAATTAAAAAGCTATTTACTGCAGGATCAGACCACAATGGTTCAAAGAACAAAAGGCCTGATCGTGAAACATGTAAAACTTCTACTACTGACTTAACAGTTTAGGATTGGTCTGTAAGTCATTACGTGGTAAATATTCCATGAATGATTTCTAAAGGTGACCTGCATTTAAAAAAATTATATGAAGCTACATTTAACAAGGGTTAAATGTACTATATATTTGCAAAGTGACCAAATTCACATTGCTGTAACACTTCCAAACTCATTCCTTCTTAGTGAATCTCATTTCATTATACATCATTATATAGGACTAGAAGACTTACCCAGTATTGCCCAGGTCTTTCAAGGCAAGGAGCTGGTGGTGTGGGGAATGCAGGAGTCAGGGCAGGGGCCTGGGAATGTGGGGTACTTAGAACAGGAGGCTAGGAGTATGGGGGTGCAGGAGTCAAAATTTGGGGTTGAGGAGGGCTGGGGATGGGGAGTGCAGGAGTCAGAGAGCAGGGGTAAAGGGAAGGGGGAGACTCCAGGATTTAGCACTCTTAATATCACTTGCCTATTTTGTATTTTTCTTAGCTTAGTGAAAATAGTAAGATGGTTTCTGTCAGTTTCTCTTTCTGGCTACTATAGAGATATGCTGCAATCTCTGAACTAAATAATGCAAAATAATAGATATTTTACAAATAAATAAAACTATTTCCACAGGAATTTCTGTATGTTTAATTTCTATTAGTATTTAAAGCTTTCTATGCTGAAGAATTTTATAAAACCTTATTTATCACTAAAGTCAGCAAACTTTTCTGAGTAGTCAGAGAGCAAGTAAGGTTAGTAAGATGGTTCCATATTTATATATGTTTTTCCGTATTAAAAATACAAATCCTGTTCATTAACAATTCTGTATATTCTGCATAATTTAGCTGCTCGATCTGTTGGTTCCCAGCCAGTGGAAGCCGCAGGAAGTGGCATGACCACATCCCACAACTCTCACTGAGGCTACGTCTAGATTGCAGGCTTTTTGTGCAAGAAGCTTTTGTCGGAAGAGATCTTCTGCAAAAACTTCTTGTGCAAGGAAGTGTCCATGATGCAAAAGCGCATCAAAAAAGCGTTGCGCTTTTGCGAAAGAGAGCATCCAGACTGCCTGGATTTTCTCTTGCAAGTAAGCAGTGATTGCTATGGACAGAATGGCCACCAGGGCACCTGTGCTTTTTCCTTTTCCCTCTTTTTGTGCAAAAAACCTCTCTTCCCCATCCACACACACATTTTTGCGCAAGAGCTCTTGTGCAAAAAGGTGTTCTTTCTTGTAGAATGAAGATTACCAATTGCGCAAAAACCCCTCTGATCTTTCGATTTTCTTGCACAAAAACACACATGAGGTGTGGACACACCACGAGTTTTTGCGGAAAAACAACTATTTTTCCGCAAAAACTCTGTAGTGTAGACATAGCCTGACTGGCAATAGTGAGTCAGTCAGTGGCAGCTGCAAGCAGCTGTAGCTGAAGACACTCAGGTAAATAAAGTGCCTGGTGGCCTGCCAGAGGTTAACCCTGGCAAACTATGTCCAGATAATAGACTAGAGGTTCCCCTTCCCTGTTTTAAATGTTACACATGTATAGATAAGAACTCTCCCAGGGTTGAAAGTTTTTGCATTTGTAGAAGTAGACTCTAATATCAGTATTTAACATTTCAGATCTGTTTTAAAGACCAGAATCTGGGCCCGAACTATGCAAGTTGCTTAAATATTCCCATGTAGTGGACTAGTCATATTTAGAGTTAGGTGTGTACTTGGGCAGGTTGCTAAACTGGGACCCTGTTCATGGTATCATTTCCCATTTTTAAACTTTAGATTGTGAGTGTAAAGTCTTGAATTTCAACACAAGACTTCATACACATGCAAGAAGTCTAGTGGTGATCTTTCTCCAAAGACATCACATGAATTTTCAACAGTGTTTTCCTTTCCTGATTGGCTGAAGGAGGCAAAATGATCTCATATTAGCACTTTTTTACAATTATGCCATTTTAATTTACACTTATAATGATTATTGATATATTAATCTCTATGCAACCAATAAAAAGTAACGTCAGACATACAGTACTATAGACATGTTTTGCACTTATCTTCATTTTAATAGTTCATCTGTCACAAATAGTTACCGTAGTTTAGCGTATATAACCCGCACCCGTGTATAACCCACGGTTTTTCTTTTTTGTGTAAAAAAACCCCTTAGATTACCTGCGGACGTGTATAACCCACAGGTCCTGCATTCCATCCATCTGTTGTTAAGTAGCCATCCTGCTGCCAGCGGGAGGAGCGCAGCACAGGCAAACTAGCCTGCCTGTAGGAGGGGAGCTGCACTCGCGCCCAGGCCCTGCGCAGCCGCAGCCAGGCGCAACCCACCCTCTTCCGAGCACAGCGCTAGTGCGCTGGAAGCTCATCAGGCCCTCCCTGCAGCGGAGCGGAGCTGACCCAATTCTAATGGGGCAGAGTTGCTTGTGAGTAAAAATAAACTTGTATACCCCGCGGACATGTATACCCCGTGGGGAGGGATGGGGGGTTGTAAAAACGTGTATAACCTGTGGGTTATATACGCTAATTTACGGTAAATTGTTTTTCTACGTGTTTGTCTTTGTTCATGAAAACTACATGACCTTTTATGCATTAAGATATCATCATAGACTGTTAAATGTTGATGTTGAACATTTGTTCTAAATGGTAATTTTTAAAAAGTGTAAGCAATTTTTTAGAAGCAATTACCATGCTACAACTTAGCGATGTTAAATAGTGTTTAATCAGCTAATTGAATAGTTGATGGAATTTCCATCGAGTACTCGATTGTTTGATAAAGGAGGAAACTGTAGAATCGCAGCAGAATTAGCTCCTGTTTTAGCTCATGTATTAAGAGCCAGGGGAACCAGGTGTGAGCTGTGAATCAGCTGATTCCCAGCTCACGCTTGATCCCAGATGCTGCACTTCTGCTTTTTAAATGTATTAAGAGCCACCAAGGGGACTGGGTGCGAACTGTTTCCCGGCTTGCACCCAGTATCCCTATTATGCCCTCTATCAGAAAAAGGCAGCAAGGCGGGGGAAGGAACTAGTCAAGTCACTGTTCAACTATCTGATAAGGATATTCTTATTGGGTAGTCGACTAGTCGCTTACATTCCTAGCTACAGCTGTTTGATATACTGCAGGATGTAGCAGAATTTAAATGAAAAGATGTATCTTTGCAGAAAATTATTATTGATGGCATATTTGTAATGGTTGATAGATTGATTGCTTCTGGGTTCTTAGGACTGCTTCTCTGGATCATCTGTCCATTAAGACTTTAATCTCTGTTGAAAATGCCCATTTGTGTTAATACATATGAAGAATGTTAATTTTAATTTCCCACTAAGACTGACAGAAAAGGGCCCAAAATTACAAACATTGCTTAAGTAATCATTTAGATATGCACTTTATTGGAAAGGCACATGGGAACTTCATATTGCTTCTTGTTCAATTGTATGTACAAAAAAATAGGAGTATTTTTTAAAATGCAGAAATATACTTGTGGAATACTTTGTTTTATTGTCTGCTTTGTTTTATCAT